TCACCATATATACAAAAATTACTTATACAAAAATAATCATGAAAAACTATTATTAAAACTTAAAATTCAAGCATAAAATATTATCTTGATTGAGCTAGTTGTTAAAATTAAAAAATTAAATTTAAACATAATTAAATCAAAACTATATATAAAGATAAGTTAGTAAATGTAAACACATGTTTATATGTAGATAAATAAATGAATTAGTAAATATATATATATATATTAATGATCATGTCCAAATGGATGGACGAGACCTTCTGTTCGGACGTCATCATTTGGGGTGGTTACTTGAGGCATACTTTGATGCAATTTTTTGAGTCTGTACTCTCAATAAATAAATTGTCTGTGCTCAGACAATTCGAGTTCACAAACACATCCCTTTGATAAATTCAAAACAAATTGTCTGTCATCATACTTAACAAAACTTTCAATGAAATTACCAATTATTCTAGTAGTACCTAGATTCATCAAGCTATAAGGAACATTATGAACTCCGCCTCAAGGAGATCAACTTTGAGCGGGATATCATCTGGTTTAACCACTTTTAATATAGCAAATTTCTCTCAAACAGCCACGGACCGCCATCTAAAACACGTTACATATCGACACTATGATAAAAAGTAAAAAGATACATTTTCTTGCTAATCTCTTTGATGGATGCCCCCTTACCCGGTCTCCATAGCGAAGCCATGAGATCCTTGAAAATATGAAGCTTGATTTTCCTATCCGTTAGCAGAGTGCCAACCATCGGGAACGTTGGCCTTATCTCCTCTGCTGCAGTCTCACCGATTTCTTCCTTGTCCAGATCCAATTCCTCATCCTCCTCATCTATAGCCATCTACTTATGCGATTGACTATTGATTCCATCCAATTCCACCATTTCCAGCCTCCGATTCGTCGACCTAATTCCGCCGGTCCTCCGCCTGTTTAGCCGAAGACGAAACCCTTCCTGCTAAACTAGCTATTGCGCAACACCCTTTGGCGAGATGCCTTCTTCCAATCACCTACTCCACCCCTAAAGCGTAGTCTGCCTGTAAGGAAAACAAAGTGCCGCTCCTCGACCTAGTGACCTAGTCGATAGCAGAGAAAAGCTCTAGCGGCGGAAAGACGTAGAGAGACAGAGATATAATTGTGAAAGTTAGTTACTTATGTCAAAACTTATTTAAAAAACGTGAATGATCAATGTCATTGAATTTTTAATTTACTACTCCTTCTATCCTATTTTACTTATCTTACTTTCTTTTTTGAGTTATCTCAAAATACGTGTCAAATTTTCTTTTTGGAAAATAAATATGTGGTCTGCTGCATTTTATTTATTATACTCAAAATCTCAACGGCAATGATTATTTTTTCAAAAATGATCTTTGTACCCACTCTTATACTCACCTTTGTACTCACCCATGTTTGTGAAGTGTTTTTTTTTTCTGTGAACCCCGGCTCACAGACAATATTTTGCACAAACAAATATTGTCTATGAATCGGGTTCACAGACAAAAAAAAACCTTCACAAACATGATGGGTATATAAGATGAGTATAAGAGTGAGTACATCAAGCATTTTTGTTATTTTTTCAACCACTTTATAATAATTGTTTCCAACCAAAGTAAAACACGTCAAATGGGACGGAATTAGTATTAATCTAAAAAGTTATGAAAACTAAAGTTAAATATTAAGAGTATGATTGTGCAATCTACATTAGGCCTTTTCTAAATAGTACGGAGTATACGAATATACGATAGTACTATCGTATATATTAGGGGCAGTCATATTGATTCAGTTTCACCAAATCCAATCATACCAAATATATAATTCCATATGAATTTGATAGCACTTTTTGTATTAAACTGAACCAAATAAAATTGGGAGAAATTTTTTATGTAAAGTTTGAGACATTTAAATTACACATGCAAGTTTGGAGTATTTATCTCACACTCTTTCAAAGTTTAGGGTATTTGAATTATTTTTCCCAATAAAATTCAATAAAATCTTACTATATTATTAAAAAGGAAAATTATCATTGACCTCCCTTGAGGTTTGATGCATTATCAATCACACCCCTATACTATCAAAAATATACTTTTACCCCCCTCCCTATTCTTTAATGATGATTAAATAACTTCTAATCTATATTTAGAGAAAACTATAGATATAATTTCATTATTTTTCGTTAGGTCCGCTTTTAATACTGTAATCTTATTCAATCACAAATTTGATCCGGTAATTAATAAATTTGTCCATATTAATGACATTTTTATCGGAAGTCAAACAAAACTGACCCCATTCTAGGCTGTTCGTTTTATACCTTTGAATTTGTAAAGTGACTAAATATATTCAACTGGCATGGAAATGATCAAAATAAGCTAAATTTGTCAACTGAAACAAATCAACTTAATTGAACCAAACCGACTCAAAAGTGATGTTGACTACTCGGTTTTACCATTAAAGTTTGAATGCAAGAAAATTCCCATTTTGCACTCTAGAAACTTTTTTATTACTGAAAATGAGATCATTATAGGTATAATATAACTTGTAAATTAACATTTGACAAAATATGAACATGTTTACATGTAAAATACTGGTAAAGACATTAAAATTTATCATGAGTTTCACACCCAAACTGGTTAGTGCTAAATAATTAGTGTGGCCCATGACCTTATCTTCGATTCTAATATCCTAATTTGTCTAGGTTCGCTCCCGATAATTTAAATATTTAACTACCTATTTTTTAATTTTTAAACGGACTATAACCAATTTTAAAATGTTTTCAATGGTTTTAATGAAAAAATGAACGGGGTCAAAACATGGGCTCCAATCCTGGTCCAAAAAGTGAGGCCTGAGGCCTCTTGTTTACCGGTCTGGTCTCGATCCCAACCTAAAATCTTAATTAAAAAATCGGTCATTCTCGAGACCAGGCCTTGTCCTCCCTTAATATGAACCACAAAAGTAAGTACTTCTCATACAAATTTACAATAGGTAACAATAGTCTCCTAAAAGTCCTTCAACAACATCTGTTTTACGTATAAAATATACGTATTAGACATCTTTCTCTTGTCAGAAAAGTTTCACCAAGATTTCTACAACCTCAAATATATTTTTGAACTTTTAAAAGTAACAGAGATTTATGGTTTTAAGCTCGTACCTTTCAATTGGAGTAAAGAGTGAGTTTGGTTCTCCAAATTGCAAAAAAGGGATCAAATAAGTCCTTTTATAGAAGATTCTGTCCGGACGTGCCATTTGAGATGGCTCCCGGTAGAATTTTTTGATGAAATTTTTTGAGCATTTTATTCATTAAGTCTAGTTTACTCATACCAAATTTCAGCTAAAAATTCAATCGGGGAGACATACAAATGAATTCTTGAAGATAACTGCGCTTTTAACGGCACTGTTATCTTCAAGAATTTATTTGAATGTCTTCCCGATTGAATTTTTATCTGAAATTTGGTATCAGTAAACTAGACTTAACGAATAAGATGCTCAAAAAATTTCATCAAAAAATTCCACCGAGAGCCACCTCAAATTGCACGTCTGGACAGAATCTTCTATATAAGGACTTATTTGACCCCTTTTTTGCAACTTCGAGGACCAAACTGACCCTTATCCCCTTTCAATTGTGTCTGCTAAGTGTATAATTTTACTCACATGTAGATGTAGTTATGTACCTTGTCGATAATAAGGGCTATTTCATTGGAAAGTACGTGTTCTTGCAAAAAATACTTTCTGGTGGAAAGATTTTGAATACAAGTAAATTTATTAATTATCAGGTTAAATCTGCAAGTGAGTAAATTTATAAAACTGAATTTATACTATTTCTAAACGTAATTAAGAGTTATTAAACTTTCATTAAAGGATAGGGAGGGGGGTAAGTGTATATTTTTAATAGTGCAGGGGTCTAGGTGATAATACGTGAAACCTCAAGGGTGGTAAATGATAATTTCCCTATTAAAAATGAAAAGTTCAAATCAAACCAACCAAATCCAATCAAGCCAAACTAAACGGAAACATATTATAGTTTTTATAATCATTCTTCTAATTTGAACCGAATTGAAAACAGATAAAAACAAAGTTTAAATCGTAAATTCGTAATGCCCAGGCCAGTATATACTTCGTACTACGTATAACATAAATGGAAAACAAAACAAATAATTTAAAATCGGCAGGAATTAAAACATCCTTAAACTAAATAGAAGTAAAATGTTGGCATTATATCATAATAGTAGTAGGTGTTTTATATTCGGTAAAACTGAGTCCATGTTACTTTTCAACACAGATTTCATTTATGATTTGTCTCAACTATTGAACTACATAAGAAACATTCAACTCAAGTACTCTGTATTATTATAAACAAACCACCCTTAACTCCTTAAGGTACTACTCCCTCCATCCCCTATAATTGTCCCATTTTACCATTTTTGGATGTCCTATTATTATCTCATACCATATTTGGTAACATTTGTGTGGCTCTAATTCATTCTTACTTTATTTCCACTTTATCAACTCATTATCAACCACATAATTCTACTTTTCTTGAAAATCACATCACTCTCTTCCGTCCCAATATTAAGGGGGCAGAGGGAGTATATGTTAGGGATGGACTGGGCTCGAACGGCCCGACCCGAGACCACCCGGGACCGGGTACTGTTTGGGCCTGGTCCGGGGCCAATTTTCAAGTACTGATACCCAGACCGGCATAAAAGCGGGACAGGCTCGGGCCTTATTTTTTGTGACCGGACCAGCCGATCCCGGACCCAATTCCGGTCCCAACCGATATATTTTTAAAAAATAAAAAATAAATTAGAGTGTGGGTCCGACCTGAGACCGGTACGGTTTAGGCTCAAACCGGGACCAGTACTGGACCAAACCGGGTTAGTACCAAGCTTCAATTATTAAGAACGGGATCCAACAAGGCTCCATGCCTACTATATGTAGTTAAATTTAAACACCGAGGTGTTTTTCTTGCTCCGCCACTTGATCATGGATCTATCTCAATGCAAGCTAGCCAAAGAATGAGCTAGAGCCTAGAGGCACTTGTCAAACTGTTTAGCATTCATTTTGTCATAAAAGTATAGAATTCTCATATTACTACACAGGCACTTGATTTTTAAGTTTACTACACAGGCACTTGATTTTTAAGTTTTTTACCAAGCGAGTTTTCTGGTGCGAAAGCTTAAGTATGTAAACCAAAAAATTCTGTGCAGAGTCAATTTTGCCTTGACATAATTTGGTATAGTTGCATGTACAAATCTAAGTTGAGAAAGTCAAAGGCAAATTGTCAAGACCTCACCCCGGCAATACAGAAGGATGGCAGGTTTGGCTGCAACAGATTTCACCGGAAAAACATAAAGGAAAGAAAACTCATGAGATTTCGCAGCTCCGATGGCAGAGATGGGCCTACTCATCCTTGTATGGAGCAAATAGGATAGAAGAGTTGTGTCCACCGAAGCCAAATGAGTTAGAAAGTGCCACTTTTACATCCAAGCGTTCCTTCTTAGAGCCAGCCAGTAATCTTGTATCCTGGTGACATTTTTACAAAACTGTTAGTGCATTAACAATTATCTGAGACATCACTTGTGTCAAGCTTCACAAGTTCATGGCTACTAAGCTAAGATGCATGAGAGCTCTTGAAATGCAACACTTCCAAATTCAATCCTTATTTTTAGATTCAAGCTACGGTCTCTTTGGATGGAGGTTTATAAATTAGGCCTGACCAACCCTAAAACGGTCAGTGTAAGGTTTACCTCATATTTATTCATAAGATAGAAATCAGATAACACGCCCCTCAATCCTATAACAAATAGGTCAAACAGACCCCAAACTGTCCAAATAGACTACATCACCACTCTAAATTATGTGGTGTCAAATAAACAAACAGTTTACAACTATATCAACTCAAAAACCGTATAAATTAGGTCTAAATCACCCCAAAATAGTTCCTAAAGAGATGAGAGGTGTAAGGTTTGGCCAATAGTTATTATATGTATACTAGACAAAGATCATGTAGGACACTCGACAAGGGTTTTGGAAAGGGAGGCTTTGGAGGGATTAGAATGTTCTTCGATATATAGTCGAGATTTCAGCATTTCATTAAGTTTTATGTTTGTTTCCAGTCATTCTAATAAAACTATGAAAGAGTTTGAGCAACATGTAAACGTACCATTCCTTCCTCAGGGTTCTCAAGATTGGTATTTGGATGGATCCAGCCTGTCTGTATAGCCTGCATGAGAAGTCAATAATTCCAGGATAAATGAGTTTTCGTGAGTGGCCCCTTACATAAAAGAAAGTATTTTTGTTTGTTGGTCATTACCATAATGGTTGCGATGGCTTCAACAGCACCAGCAGCTCCCAGGAGATGTCCGATCATCGATTTTGTAGAATTAATTTTAAGCTAAAAAACACCAGACATCAATATATGAACCCCATAACATGGTGCAAAGGCTACACAAAAGGCACTGAGAAGTACCTCACTATTTTGTCCAAAACAACGAGTTATGGCCTGATATTCTTTCAGATCACCGGCCGGGGTTGATGTGGCATGAGCGTTTATATAGTTCACGTCTTCTCTATTAACCCCAGATTGAGCTAAAGCCTTCTCAATGCATAGAACAGTTCCAGCTCCTGATTTTAGGACAAATTATAGGGGCATCAGTAATATACTTTGCTTAACTCGAACTTTTTAGCCTTCAATTCGATTCCATCTTATAAAGAGAAAAGAAATAAATGTATAGTTTGACAGTCTATCAGTTAATGGAGCAAAATTTAATCATTAATTTCAGTAGATTAATAAATAGGAAGGAAATGATTCAATGGTGCTTACAGATTTTTCAAATAGGTCATCAGACTTGTAATTAAAATTCTTAATTTCTTCTATATGTGACCAACTTTTTTATCCGCTGCCTATTTTCAGTATTGGTTTCAAAGATTTAAAAGTTACTCCTTCCAAGAGTCCATCCATGTTTAAAAATTACTCCGTATGTTTTTACTATTGGGGTCAAAGTTGGTTAACTTGACTGTTTGCCACAAAACTATGCAAACATTGTATTACTTTGTTTCAATAAATATAAATGCTTTTGATATAGTAATTCATTATAGACTAAAAATATATAATTGTAAATAATATTGGTCACGGATGAACATTTAAGACCGTAAAAGTCAAAATAGAAACTGAAGGACTATATGATATAGGTTCAAGGTCATATAAGGAACTAAAGGTAGTCATCATACTTATACTACTAATGTTAACTTCAAGAACTGTCAACAAAAAAAGTAAAATCATATTTTTTGTTTTCATAATCTTGTATTTGATACACAAATATAAGATGCCGTCTGAAAACTGAAGCTCTTACCATCAGGATGTGGCTCGGTCATGTGATAAGCATCACAAGTGAAGCTTCCGCCTAAAAACTCTGCATATATTTTGGCCCCTCTTTTCTATCAAATTAATTAACAAAAATGTGAGGGAAAATGAGAGAGGAGATTCATTAAAATTAAACTTAAGCCTGAATTATGGAGTATTGAGAAAAGCATTATTATTTTTATGATGTAGAACCTTTGCATGTTCTAGTTCTTCTAACAGCAACACACCAGACCCTTCTCCCATGACAAATCCATCACGCCCCTGGTCCATCATGAAATCAAGATATACTTTCACCAGATAGCCAATAAAATACTATATTACAGAGTATAAGTAACTCATCACTATTAAGTTTTTCAATGTTGAACGTTTTGAAAAATTGGATTAATGGTGGTCAAAGAAGTTGAATGTCACACACTCACACCAAGACACTCCGGGCTTGTTTGCTTTGGAGATTTGGGGGAGGATAGCTATTTATTTTTTGAGTTACTTCTATATTACGATGATAGAAAATAAAGTGAAGATAAAAAGCTGTAGAGATATATCTGATGTAACTAATCATACAATTAATCTAAAACTAACAAGGAGATTTATGAGTAAAATAAAAACCAACCTTCCCTTCCTACTCACTCCAAAATCTCATTACCAAACAAGCCCTTAGGGTTTGATTAGATGGAGCCATGGAGGACATTGCATGGGTTTAAAAGGGAAGCTTTTGGCCTTATGGGGTGGATTAGTTTATATTTTGATAAACAGAATCTGATATGGATACACTCTGGGGTCATGCCTATCAGTGGAGCAAGTTGGGCCTAAGAAACATAGCCACTCAGCCAGTTCAAGACTTCAAGTGAGGTCCAAGCAGGACAGGAGAACGAAAGTGGCTAAACTTGAGCATCAAGATCCTTGTTATTATTATTTATTTATTAGTTTCCTAATCAGATTATTGCCTTGATTTCCTCTGGCAGTTCTTATCAGTTTCTCATTATCATTATGTTACTATTAGGATTAGGGCTATTATGAATTATAATTATGATAGCTATATAAGGGACCCTTATATTTATTACGGAGTAACGAAGTACTTTCTTGGGGGGTCGGCTAGATCAGGCAACGGATTAATTCCAATAAACCCTTGTTATTTTCATTTCGTTCTGTGTTCGTAATAAATCTGACAATTGATCTCTCCGTGCTATAGTTCGCTTCTGTTCTGCGTTCTCAACCTTGGACGAAATCTTGCTCAGGCACTCTTAACAGACTCTTTCATCAATCAATAGGAGAGGTTGAATTATTCTTTCATCGCTAATTATGGTATTTCTTTAAATTTTTTAAAATCCCAATGTATATCAGTATATAGACTTAGCCCTACCAAAGGCCTCCCGTCTCAACCCCCAGAAACTGACTCCCAACCTGAACGTTAGGTACTTAGGTTATGCTTTGAAATCAAAGATGGTAGGGAAAGGAGAAAAGCTATAAAGGAAAATGTTTTTTATGTTTAATTTTACCGTAGAAGATGCAAAGGAAAATCAAATTTGATTATCCTTTTATAGTTTTTCATATGTGTTTATATTTCTTAGATTTCATATGTATGATAGGAATGTTAAGATAAAATGAGTCCGAAGTCCGAACAAATATCTGAAACTGATACATTGAGTTTGAAGCAATCCATCCCGGCACACCCACCTTTTCTTTCACTCCGAACTCTCTCTATTTCCCTCCCAATTTTTTCATTTCCATTTTCCGTGTTAGACCCTTAATTTAAAAGTGTGATCATATCTAGATTCCCGATAACATAGAAAGCCATGTTTATTGGCCAATATGATAAGAATGCTGAGTATGGTGTACAGCAGTACAATCAATGTAAACACCGACATAAGTGGTGAGATAAATACAATACCATATCCCACGGACGTGAAGCCCTTGTTGGATCATTGTTCCTTGTTGAGAGAGCTCGGCATGCCACAAACCCTCCAAGACCTATAAGTGATAAAAAAAATTAATTTTTATACACTACATAACTATAAATTCCTTCCCAAAATGTAACTATACACCTACCTATAGGAATAATTGCTGAATCTGAGCCACCGCAAAGCATTAAATCCTGCAATTTAGTGAGACATTTTTCTGAGTTGTTCACTAGATAAAAAAATGAAAAAGTTAACAACAACAACAACAACATCCAAGCCTTAGTATGGATCGAAAAAGTTAACATTATATTTTTTTTAAAAATTATGTTTTGGCAAGTAAACATACTGATTCGCCTCTTATAATATGATTTGCAGCATTAAGTATGCAAAAGTTGCTCGTTGCGCATGCCGTGGAGATTGAGTAGTTTGGGCCCATCCAACCCTGCAGTTTACACTTTAGAAAAGTAGAAATTGAATAGTTTGGGCCCATCAATCTTCTTCATTACTCACCAAATCCATAGCAAGAATAGCAGATCCCATATTTGTTGTAGCAAAAGGTACGCAAAACGGATTCATTTTCTTGTAAGAAATTTGCAGTGCCTCTATAGCATCATTAAAAACCTGTTAAAAAAAGGATACAAAATTACAAACAGGGAGGAAACTGTGAAAGAGATTGTGCTGCAAGGTTGCTTATATGTGCAAAGGCTTGAAGATCCATCTAAAAGGTTAATTTTATAAGATGAGTTGTTCAAGACCTTCTATGTAAGTTTATATCTTTACAATTGCTCGGGCTTAAAATGTCCCAGCAAGATGGTCGCCCGTTAGAGCTGACCAAACTTGGAATCCAACTTGTGTGCTATTTTAGAATCTTAGTAGGACCGATTGCTCGTTTGACTTTAATGTACTTTAACAGCATGTCAGCATGCGTGTAACATAGAGAAAATGCTAGAGTTACCTTCATACCCCCAAGGGCAGACCCAATTAAAACCCCACATTTAGTTTTATCTAACTCTTTTATGACATCTTCTGTTATTCCACCATCAGCCAAAGCCTTCTTTCCAGCAGTGAGCATGTAAAGCATAAACTTATCTGCTCTTTTGGACAATTTAGGAGAGACCCACCCGTCAGTCGAGAAGTTTTTTATTTCCCCAGCAATTCTCTGTAAGGTAAAAGATCAAGATCATCATCTAAAATTGTAGAGTACACAAAAGAACATAAAAATTTAAATTTTGCTTACTGTGGGAAAATCAGAACAGTCGAAAGCCTCAATCGCACTGACGCCACTAACACCCTGAAGGAGATTATTGTAAAACTCATCCACATCATGACCCACGGGAGATACTACCCCAACTCCAGTCACAACTACTCTCCTTTTATCTGTAATGACTTTTGTCTTTGCTAGTGCTTTCGTTTCAGGTTGCACAGCCACAGCCATGGTTTTACCTATATCAACCATAACCATTAAAAAATTAATGCAAATGGGAGTAGAATGTGAGTGATATGCAGAAATAGGAGAACCGTTGTTTGTGCTAAGAATACTAACTCATTGGGTCCTAACAAAAGAATAAAATTAGTTAATAATTCTTCTTTAGGAGTAATGAGTCAATACTTTCTATGAGAACCGTTGTTTGTGCTAAGAATACTAACTCATTAGGCCCTAACAAAAGAATAAAATTAGTTAATAATTCTTTTTTAGGAGTAATGAGTCAATACTTTCTAGGAATAACATTACCAACTCTATTTAAAGAAATGTGTTAGAGATACTTTCCACCTGCTACGAAACTTTTCCTAAAACTAAATAAATCCAAAGCTCATTAGTAACATTGGGGTAAAAACAAACTATAAGCATTTCTCAAAACCCACATGAAAAGAAAACCATAATAAAAAATTCTGAGGGCTCAGCCACCAGAACATGCCAATATTGCAACTTCTCCTCTGTACCATAACAATATAATAAGCTTCTTAGCATCCCATGCCACCCTTAAAAGATATCAGCTTAATAATAATAAGAATGGTTTACAAGCAACAATGGAAAAGAAGGAACTCCAGGAATTAAATCACTACAAAATCAAACCATAATCAAGTAAAGATAGAAATCAAAAAATAATAACCTGGGTCTGGATTCATTCAGATTGCATGATACCCATGTTTTTTCACAAAATAACCGCATGAGTTTAGATACAGTAAATCTATTGTGAGAACACACACAAAATGCTAATGCCTGTACGCAACTCTTTGAATTTATATAAAGTTTAAATACAAAAACGAATGAAAACGTACAATGCAGCATTCATACTTGAGCAGATAAATATGTATATAGACATATAAATACTTTTGCGGTTATACGAAAGATAGATGAGGAAGAGAAACAGACAGGCTAGACTTACTCATCCGCTTCGTTTTGCGGTTTCCGGGCGGTGGATTGGACCCGAATATAGATAAGGCATTGTCACCGAAGAAAGGCAACCCTTTTGAGTTGTAGTAGTCCTGACAGGGTACGCAAGAGCTCATCAACCCGTGAATTCCAGATCCATAGAAAGAAGACACCAAGCCGCCGCCAAGGTTGCCGCTCCAGGCGGACACTGCCCGCTTCCTCCTCAGCCACCTCCGAGACTGAAACACCGACGGCGACTTCCCGAGGTGGTCCTTTTCACAGGCGGCTGACATGCAAGCTGCCACTAGCCATGTACAGAGCGGAGAGGCCAATGAAGAAGCCACCATTGCTGAAAAACAGAGAAATGGAACTAGGAATCACCGAATGGTTTTTTTTTTACAACTAGATGCGATTTATAGCGACCCAGATTAGAAATTCGAAATCTTGGAGGGGTTTTGGACGAAATGTAATAGATTAAGCTTTTTCTTTATTAAGTTGGATTAGAAGAAATCTGGGGCATGGGGGTTGATCGAGTGATTTTCAGTCTAGGGTGAGACATTCATAGGAGGAAAGAATGCCACTGAAGGTTCATTCTTCATTAGCATTACAAATATATACTCCGTACATCAAAGTTGGTCAATCGTCAGCGAAAGCTACAGTACGTGCAAAATTTTCAGACTTTTTTTATGGTTCAGACTTCTATTCCACATTTTGGAAAGGAAAATTTGAAAATATAATATCACCTCTCACTGTTTTCTAAAATAATTTAATCTTTGATGGTTTAGTACTTTAGCGATCAGCCGTTTCAGATTTTTTCTTTTTCTCTGAGAATTATTAAAAAAATCACATTTCATCTATTTTATCAAACAGTTTTTTTAAGGGAAACCTGTCAAATAGGTTCTCGAACTATCATAAAAAGGTCAATTAAGTCCTTCTATAGGAAGTTCTGTCCGGCCGTCGCGATTTGGGGCAGTTCCCGGTGGAATTTTTTGATAAATTTTTTTGAGCATCTTATTCACCAAGCCTAGTTTACTCATATCAAATTTCAGCTAAAAACTCAATCGGGAACACATTCAAATTAATTCTTGAAGATAACTGCGCATTTTTGTGTTCTCGAATTAATTTGAATGCGCTCCCGATTAAATTTTTAGCTGAAATTTGGTATGAGTAAACTAGACTTGATGAATAAGATGCTCAAAAAATTTCATCAAAAAATTCCACTGGGAATCGCCCAAATCGCGACGACCGGACAGAGTCTCCTATAGAAGGACTTAATTGACTTTTTTATGAAAGTTCGAACATCTATTTGACTGTTTTCCCTTTTTTTAATAGAAATAACAAAACCTTCATATGTGATGCTCTTTCTCTCAGTAACGAGGAGCGGCCGCTGCAGGCGGGTTTAGGCGTACAGGGTTTCTTCTTCCATCATCAATTGTGTAGCTATTTTTCTTCTTTTACTTTGGCAAGATTAAGCGGAGGAAAGAGGATGTTTGGTCTCCAACAGTCAAAGGTTGTGCAGGGACAGAAGACAAATGTTTGGTCTCCAGCGGCCAAAGGTCATGGACAGAAGACAAATGTTTGGAACAGATCTGAATTCGATGACATCTGTGTTTTAGCGGCGAAAAGGAGACTTGGTAGAGAATTGAACGTGATGAATAAGAGGCAAGGTGAGAAAGAAATTACATATTGCTCGATCGCCTCCCTCCAGAACCGCCGCCATGGAGTGCAGGAGAGTCTAGGGTTTGGAAGCAGCTTTTTAAATTTATTGTTTGCTTGCGATTTAATTTTTATGATTAGATTGTTTATTTTTTGGTTACTTTTATTGTCCTAAGATTCTTGCATTAGTATTGGGTGATGGAAGGTATGTTTAAACCGTCATTGGCTCATTTTTGCCCATTATTGGATTAACGAGATTGTTTTTTTAAGGTGATTGACTCTAAATCTGGTATGAGGGTTGGCGGTTGCTTGTGATCCTTTTAATGTTATGATAGTATTTTTTTGCCTTTTCTCCCTAGAAGTTTTCTATCTTTATTTTTATCAACTCAAAACTTTATTCTCCCTCTTCATAAGGCCGGACTACATCAGTTCCACCTTATCAGAAAAAACTTTCTTTCTAGAATTTCCATCTGGTAGTTTTTTCTTTTTGTCCATTTTTATACGGAGTAAAAGACTGTTTTATTTACGTAGCATTTGTTTTATTTCAAATTTGTTTTCATTTTATTCTCCTTTATTCTTTCCGTTTCACCATTTCAGATATCACTGATTTTTCCTTTCCCATTTCATTCCATCTTTTTCGCTGAGTTTTCATCATTTAAAATTATATGTTTATTATGAGCTCGGCTCGCAACCACTACTTTCAATTTGTCAATCTTTTTTACTACGTATTAAATATGTAATTATTTTATATTTTTCGCGTTGTAGATTGTTAGTAACTATAATTAGAGTTGTTCACAAAAACGTGACATTCTTAACTACCTTAAGTATAGTGATTATAATAGTAATTTAGTTATAGTAACTTATTTTCAATTTTTATACTTAAGTTACTAAGACAAAACTATAGTAAGTACTACCTCCGTCTCCAAAACAAGTTCTTCATTGCTTTTCACACATACGGAATATTAAAGAAATAAATTTATTGAGTGGTAAATTTTATTGTTTGGATACTGTTTTGCACTGTTTGTCACTGTTTTGATGTAATCAAATAAGGAAGGGAAAACTTAATACGGGGACTGCCCAAAAAGAAAAGGAAAGAGTATTTTTGCAAAAACTTGAAGAAAGATACCGTCCTAAAGAATTTCCTTAAAGTGGTCCGCAAAAATACAAAATCACTTCTTAAAAGAACTTTTCCGTAAATTTGTTTCTCCCTTTCAAAACACCTCCGATTTTCTTTTGAATATAAAACAATTACTTCAAAGAAGATTTGTTTTTTATAATGAAAGAAATTGGCGCTCGTAATTCCATTCAAAGAATTCCCTTTTAAACTAGGTTTCCTCTTTATGAAAATAATAAAATAATTTAAGTGATCTGATCAAATATCTTTGGAAGTCTACAAATGAAATTTATTTAGAGTCTTAAGCAGGGCCAAAACCTAAAAATATTAGGGGGCCAAAATTTTATATACATTTTTCCTTATACATATGTATATGCTCCATAAATCGTCCACGGCCCGCTAGAGCTCATGCGACGATTTGACGAAAGCACTCGCGCAATAATGCGGTGTATGATGGAGTGAAGGATGACTGAGCCATTGGAAGGGTTGTAGAGGTGTGACCACGTGAGTTCCTGTTCATCAATTTGCCCGTCCGGGGCTGCCATCATGTGAGAAAATTTCAAAATAGGACAATCATATTTTGAATATTGCAGAAGAGGATTGCCATGTTTTTATTTCCAAAATAGGAGTAATAACTGTCGGATTTGGAAAATACTGTCATGTTTAAAGTCTGGTACTGCCAAAACATGTCAGTAATTATTTTTATTTTAGGAATACAAATATGATAGTACTATTTTGAAATGTACAAAAAAAATAGTCCTATTTAGGATAATTTCTCTTTATTTTTTAGCATAATATATGATTTTTGTGTAAGTTTTGTGTTTTTTTAAACATTTGATTTTAAAGAAGCTATATGACAAACAAATCACTATGTATAGGATCCTTTTATGAAATTCGACTCAGGCCCGAGTTTAGCTAAGCTAGGATCTACATTGGTCCTAACTCCTAAGAGCATCTCCAATGCTACAATGTGCACGGTGCACATGTGGTATGCGAGACAGCCACATAAATATTATCAAATGAATTATTCCTCTCCTTATTTATATGATTTTATACAATTTTGGTAAGTTTTTCTCTGCAATGTCAACAACAATGTCAACATCTAGACGGTCACCTTGACATAGTGGAGAAAAACTTACCAAAATTTTATAAAATTATTCAAATAAGGAGAGAGATAATTTATTTGCTAATATTTATGTGGCTATCTTTCATGCCACATGTGCACCGCGTACATTGTAACATTGGAGATGCTCTAAGTACTTATATTTTGGTATTAGGCTTGGATGTTTTTGTTGTTGTATAGTCCTAAGTACTTATTACTTATACATAGAGACTTGTTATGTTTAAGAAAGGATACTATAATTTGTTTTTATGTTTTGCATCCCAATTTAAGGATGATAACCTTGACATAGAACATATATACTACGTATATTATAACAGGTTAAAAAGCTAGGTAAAAGAAAAATAGAAATGAAGGAATGTATAAAACTTGTGTACTTTGTGTGATTGTGCCATTTTAAAATGATTGACATGAAGTGTTTTGGCATCCCCGCCTCATTAAGTTTTTAGCATTGATTTGTGAAGAGTTTGTTTTCTCTTTATTTGAGACTTGTGGAGTTGCCATGCAACCGTTTTTTGTGAGGGTTCCCCTTCTCTAGGCTCTAGCTTAGATGATATGCATCACTATCCTCTCTAAATCTTGTATTTGACTTTACCCAAAATTGACATGGCTCACTTACTCTAAGGGTGGTGGATTATTGAGTAATAAAAATACCGTCAATTCATCAAATGAATGAAATGAATTGCTGCATTCCCAATGACTAGATAGGAGAATAGAGAGTGCTAAATATTCACTCCTATACTAAAAACAGCTCCCAACATGTTAGATATTTTGCGGTTACTACTTACTTTTTTTAACTAGTAGGAAGAATAACTTATATTTCACCCAAAGGCGACACATATTCCATGCTTTTGGCATTACTCCACAGAATGCCAAAAAAAAGTCGATGGTGAACTGAATCGGCTCAAAATGTATATGTCCATAAAATTTATTGAGGGAGAGTGAATGTCACAAATGCCACAAATGTGACTTAATTAATTTAGACTTAATTTAAGTTCTAAATGTGCACAAAAGTATGTATAAAAAGGAGATCAATGTACTTGTATAGTTGTATCTAAAAATATGCAATTAAAACTTTAAAAGAAAAATCCTTAATAAGACCATTTGTAGTGGTCAAATTAAAAGTCCAAATTGTTAAATTTGGACTCCGTTTATATAAAAACAGTGTTTAGACCTCATCAATATTGTTTTTCCATGCATCCGTGCACCATCTATAAAATACACTTATCATATTTTTTTACATATCAATTTAGTAAAACATTACTTAAGTTATTATAAGTAATATTTTCCTTTTAATTTTTTCCCTAAATAATTATGAAATAAAAAATACACATTTCGATGTAAAATAAATAAATTGCATTACTTTTTTCACATTTTTCGGTTAACGAAAATGACCTTATTTCAAGTAAAGTTTGATTATGAAGTATTCAGTTATTTGTGAAGGATCCATGAATTAAAATATTGTGTTTCCTGTTTTTTGGGCTCAAGAAAATTTCAACAGTTAAAACTTCATATTTGTTTTTCATTTTATATATTACATATTAGTATCATATGAAAGATCACGAAAATTCATGAAATTTGATATATATTTTCAAAAAAATTGGAATACAAATAAAAAGTTTATAAGAGTTTTGAAAAAATTGAGGTTTAAGCACACAGTGATGACATCATCATTTAGGAGTCAATCCACACTCTATTAAT